CAAATCATTATTTTAATATTAATACAATTTTAGTGAACATATTTTAAAACTATGTTAGTGTCCTCAGGTCATCTCATTAATTCACAATGTAGTTTTCTATATCGGATACGTGATTCTGATGTAATTCTGAAATTACACATTTACACAAATTACCGAAATTACACATTTCGATATGTTATTTAATACATATTATATTGTCTTTGTCCATTTAACAGCAATGGAATTTACTTTGGAGCTCATGGGCCGTAAAATTTTTCTAGAAACACATATTGTTTTCACATAAAATTTTGACACACCCAAAATTGAAGGATAAAATAAATAGATAAAAACAAATTTTCAATAAAACTGATTTGTGTAGTCCAGGGTCGTCTTTAGTAAATCTTTTGGAGGCTGTTTTAACATATCCTATCTTGAGAGAATGAAGTCTAATATTCTTTTTTGGTCAACTACGATGTTTGATTTCATTTTTTGCAATCATTAGTTCATTTCGCTTGAGGAGTCACAATGCCCATACCGGCTTTTTTTGAAATTTCGGACACAAGTTTTCCAATAATGGTTATAGGCTAAAACAAAACCGATATCTAAAGGGCGTGTAGAACCTCCCATACAAATCGAATTTTTCATAGTGCATATCTCTGGAAGTATTTGTGGTAGGGTCCTGGAACTTTGTATGGATATATGTATATGAAGTCAATCTTAAGCTCATGGAAAAATAAGAGTTTATTGGAAAATGCGGCGTGCCACCGTAGAACTAGGAATAGAGGTAAATGAAATCAATCCCAAACCTATGAAAAATGGGGGTATATGAAAACGATCTCGAAGCCATTGAAAGCTAGCGGTATAAACCAAATAAACTAAAATTCTTGTGACGCATAGATACCACTGGAAGCATTTATTTTTCCAACGGAAATATGTACAGGAAAACGGGCGCGACACCTTCTGGAAAGTAACATGATCACAGGGTGTATCCCAAGAACCATTTTAAGCAAAACCTTCAGGCATTACATTCTCGCCAAGACCCATAGGTATAAGCTGAAATTGCGTCGCAAGTTTTATGATCGGCTTAGGTAAGGTTTAACCACTTAACCCCACTTTGTTTTCGTCGCTACTGAATTCTATAAACTGTCAGCTTTCATACAATTTAAAATGTACATGTAAGAACAAAATATTTTTAAATCGACAAAAAATAATAAGAAAATTTGAAGGATTTTAGATATTGGGTATGGTAGCACGAAATGTCACAATCTGCTTAATTGTCAGGTTGTTAATATGGCGACGAAAAAGTGACAATGGAACTACCTTGTTTTTTGTATCATGGATCGAACTATATTTAAAATATCCCATGCGCACATTTACTTAACCCAAACGCAAATTAAATTAAACCAAACTTAAATTAATTTAACCCAAACGCAAATTAATTTAACCCAAACGCAAATTAATTTCACCCAAACGCAAATTAAATTAAACCAAACGCAAATTAATTTAAACCAAAAACTATCATTGCCACTTTAGATGGATTTCGCCGACCTAAACGGGGTTAGATGCGACAGGATGCCTCCTGATGATGCCTCAACACCACCTTCATGACGAGGCCCAGATGCTCCCAGTAAAGGAGCATAACATAATGCTCTGCAAGCAGTTCCTTGCTGGGAGCCACAGACGTGGCCATCCCAGCGGGCAACTGCTCGCGGAAGAGCCCTCGCCACGGCACGTCAGGAGGCATCTTTACGAACTGACAGACGAAGTCCA